AGTATAAATCATGATCTTTTGAGTTTTCTGGAATTAACTCTTAGTTCATCACTTCAATTCCCACCATTTCAAACATTTCTGTGCTCCTGATTCAGAACTTTGATGATACAGCTATTATACAAAACTGATCAAAGAAATTTTGACATAATCATTTTTAAGATATTTTTTAAATTCTTGGAAAAACAACTGGGAGCCAATACAAAAAGGGTTGGTTTCACAAGACCATGTAGTTGTTATAGCCCACAGTTCATCAATAGTTAGTTAATTACAGATCGCAAGAAGTCCTTCTGAAGATTTTATAACCCATGGACCTTTCCTTTCATGAAAGACTCTGATCCAGAAGCAGCTGCCCTTGGAGGCCAATACGTGTCTCCAGACACAAAAAGTGTTACAATCATTCAATAAATATGTATTGAACACCTCAAATGTGCCAACACTGGTCTGGGTGCTGAGGATACAACAAGAAGTACGAAGGACGTACTTAGAGACTTTCAATTATAAAATAGAAGATAAGCAAAGAAGCAAACAGACATATAAATAAAATAATTACAAGTTGTGACAAGTGCTATGAGACAAGCAAATGATGAACCGAGATCAAGAGTCACAAAAGGAAAACTTGAAAAATGTAATGAATGTCACTTACTGAACTGTACATATTGAAATTGTTGAATTGCTGCATATTCTGCTGTGTGTATTCTCACCAACAACAGCCGAACTAAAAGAATCACAAGAGGATAGGGATGATTAAGGAAGAGACTTTGAGATCTGAATATTAAACTTGTTTGTTGTTGTTGTTTATGTGCCGTGGAGTCAGTTCCAACTCATAGTGACCCTGGATAGGGTTTCTGAGACTGTAAATCTTTACAGGAGCAGAAAGCCATATCTTTCTTCCACAGAAGAACAACTGGTAGTTTTGAACTGCTGACCTTGAAGTTAGCAGCCCGACTCACAACCACTATGCTACCACAAAGTTCTACAAAATACAGAAGAGCCAGATCTGCAAAATGGGGGAGATAGGTGTGTGCAAAGGACCAGATGTTAAAATGGACCAGAAATGAACATGAGACCCAACTGATTGGAAGTTAGGGAGGGAAAGGGAAGAGACAGCAAGGTAAGGTTGGAGACATGTGCAATGAGCAGATGGTCCAAGGTGTGTATGCTGTAGTAAGGGATTTGGAGAGAATAAGAGAGGAAACAGTGAAACCTCCACTCAACTTCTCACAATTTACCCAAACAGACCCTATTCTCACCTGCCAATCTAGGAATGCCAGTCTATCATTCTTTGTCTGAAAAATTTCTATTGATTTCAATCGAGCCCTCAAAATCTGTAGAGAGATAGATATTGTTAACTCTTTATCACAGATGGACAAATGGGCCAGACTATCAAATTGTTGTTGTTAAATGTCGTTGAGTCAGTTCCGACTCATAGTGACCCTTCATAGGGTTTTCAAGGAGCAGCTGATGGGTTTGAACTGCTGACCTTATGATTAACAGTCCAATGCTTATCCTGCAGCACCACAACAGTACTCCAGTTAGTAACTGACCCAAAATCTGGGAAATGCAGAACTATCATTGGGAACCAGATTTTCATCTGCACTGTTTTCTAGAGTCTAGTAAACTGCTACATTATTAAATTAGGGCTATTAGACTGGCTCTTATTTTCTTGGAGAATTCCTTAAGATTTACTTTGGTCTCAAAGGAAACAAAAGTAAGTTTTTGTAGTGTTGCTGTTGTCTCTGTCATCGCCTCCAGTCTAAGAGGTCCTTTCAAAATGCAAATCTGCCATGCCATTCCAGCTTCCCTGCCCGCACCCCTGCCTAAATCCCATTGGAAGCTGGCTTTCCACTGCTCTTCTGCTCATAAATCTCCTGAAAATGGAGACGTACTTGTGTGTGTGTTTCCTGCCTGCACCGTGCACCCCTCCATTTTTCCTTCCAGCCACTCTGACTCCTTTCAGTGCCTTGGACTCACTATCCTCCCTCCAGCCACAAAGCCTTTGCTCACGCTGTTTATTCCTTCATCCTGAATGCCCTTCTTAGTCTTCTTGACTAAAGTAACTTCTTTACCATCCTTCAAATTTTACTCAATTATCATTTTCTTGAAGAGTCAAAATTGAAAATAGATGATCAAATGACCTAACTGTTCCCATAATCTGTATTGCCTCTTCTTTAAATAGTCTGCATAGTCTGATCAAGGGACTCTAAATATTAAAATATGTATGATTGTGCATTTGATTGGTTATTGAGATTTTTTTCATTGATAAACTGGTTCTTATTATCTAAAGATGCCAATTGGCCCCAGGTTATGACAATGGCGTGACTGAATTGTCCACAGTTACCCATTTTTTTCTATGCCCCTTATGCCTCTACTGTATTCTGCATAGACCTAGCCCACTACTGGACCCTTAGCAAAACTTCAAAATGTACTTGCTCCAATTGATTTATTAACTAACAACTATCGCTTATTTGTTACACAACTTTTGGGGGAAATAATTAGACAGTTACGTCAACAAATAAGTATATATGTACCATATGACTTGGTGATGCCGTGGGTTAACCATTGGCTTGCTAACCCCAAGGCAGCAATTTGAATTCACCAGCTGCTCCACAGGGGAAAAGAGAAGGCTTTCTGTTCCCGTAGAGATTTATAGCCTCAGAAACCTTATAAAACGTTCGCTGCTATGAGTGGATTTGGTTTGGATTTACCATATGACCCATCAATTACACTCCTGGCCACTACCCCAGAGATGAAAAGATTAAAAGTTCACACAAAAATCTGTACATTCATGTTTATATCAGCTTTATTTATTCAAATAGACAAAACATAGAAATAACCCAGATGTCCTTCAGTGGTTGAATGACTAACCAAACTGATATAGCCATACCATGGCCTAGTACTCAGCAATAAAAAGAACTGACTACTGGTGCCCACAAGCTGAATGGATCTCCAGAAAAATCTATAGAGTGAAAAAAGCTGATTTCCAAAGGTCACATAACATATGATTCCATTTATATGGTATTCTTGAAATGACAAAATGATAAATATAGAGAACAAATTAGTGATGATCAGGGCTTAGGAGGAGGTAAGGGTTGGGGAAAGGTATGCTTTTAAAGGGCAATGTAAGAGATCCTTCTGATAATGGAATGTTCCGCATCTTGGTTCTATCATGTCAATGTTCTGGTTGTGATACTACTGTACTATAATTTTGCAAGAAGTTATCATTGGAGAAAATTGGATAAAGTGTACGTGAGATCTCTGTATTATTTCTTACGGATCTGCATTTATCTAAATAAGTTCAATTTTAAAATAACAGAAAAGGGTATGTTAACTAAAATGTAAAGACCTGGCAATCTGCTTCCAAAACATCAGTCACTGAAAATCTTATGGAGTGCATTTCAATGTATGCCATGTACATGGATGGAATCACGTGTAGTGGAAATGACTTGAAGGCTACTGGTACTGGTACTCGTATTGGTGTCACTCTGAGGCATTTGCAACCACATTACAACTGGTGCCACAACAGTTCTTCTTTACTAGCTTTCCTAGTGGCTTGCTGGTGATTGATATATTATCACTCAGGATGTTGCAGTCCTGGTGTGGTGCTGTGGGTTAATCCTGGACTGCAATGTTGGTTTGACCTGCAAGGTTGGTGGTTCAAGATCACCAGCTGCTCCTTGGAAACCCTGTACAGGGTTGCTATGGGTCGGAACCAACTCAACGGCACTTAACAACTATTAAGGATTTTATTACCTTCTCTTTAGGTCTGAGGTTTATTATTTTAGAAACTTTATCCTATGCCTCTCTGTTGCTTTTCATGCATGACTTCGACCCAGATACTATTTATAAAATGGTTGGCTTTTACTTTATATCTAGCAGTGACATCACAACAAACAAATAATGATGTTTTCATCATCTTCACAGGTGAGGAAAGTTTAAAAAGTAGCACGTCTGATGGAAAGAGAAAGGCCAGGAGGCTGGCCTCCAGAATGTGTCCTTTGGTTGTTTACATGATTACATATACCTGCATGGTTTTTTGTTTGTTTTATACATTAAAAAAAAAGGGGGGGGGAGTTCTTGACAAAAGAAACAATCAATAATGGCTTTGGAAGGAGAAGGAAATGATTCATGATCTAGAGGGTAGACACACGTTGACATGGGTGACGGGGCAAGCAACTGGAGGGAGGATGATGGGAGTGGTGGGAAATGCAGGGAGGAATACAGTGTTAAAGTGAATGGAGGTAAATGCTGTTAACTGTTGGTGCATATAGGGCATTGCAACCATATAATAAAGGAGCGCTGGTAGCATAGTGGTTATGAATCGGGCTGCTAATCGCAAAGTCGGCAGTTCGAAACTACCAGCTGTTCTGCAGTAGAAAATGAGGCTTTCTGCTCTGGTAAAGATTTGCAGCCTAGGAAACCCTGTGCAGGGTCACTATGAGTTGGAACTGACTCCACAGTACTTAACAACAGCAACAACAATGAGGTAAAGTATATAATTTGTGGAATGTAAAACTGATGACCTTCACTCAATCCACTGTAAAAAGTTTTAAAAAACAACAGCGAAGTAGCACATCTGTCAACTGCCACCTCCAAGCCTCCTTTTCCAGTCCTCAAGGTTCCCTGAGCCCAATGTTAGTGTTATACTTGAACTAGTGGTTGTTGTTTAGAAACCTGTAACAGGCTGTTGTTCGAATTTCTCTGCAGTCCTTTTCATCTCTTCACCGTTTTTCTGCCAAACTTTAATACATTCTTCTGATATCACATTTCCTAGATTTCTGTTCCATTTTCTGTTATCTTTGTTTAATGTGGTTTGTTTAGGTTTTGTTTTGTTTTTAAATTCCAATTATTAGAGTGACTGAAAGTGTCTATTTTGTAATACAAATCTTTTCCCAGAGAGCCCATGACAATTATTGGTGTTTGAGAACAGAGCAGGATCGGTGCTGTATTTTGCTCATTCTCATACTTTAATGTTAAATTTCGTTTTTTGCTTTCTCTTTCAGTGACTAGACATAAAAACCCAGAACACATCATCAACCAGGTATGTCCGCACTTTTCAAAAACTTTCATATAGAATTTTGCTTCAGATGTTAATAATTAAGCATCTGTAAATACAATGAAGCAAAGGGCAATGCTAGTAAGTGAATGTGAACAATATACATGTTGTTGGCTCTAAGAACAAATAAATTGGTGGCATGTGGATGAATGTTCATTTTCATGGTCTCTCCCCTTCCCATTCCTACCCTCCACTTCACTTAGCCCAAGTATGGAAACAGCAGAGACGCGAAACCTGTATGTCCTGACTTGTAAGCATCCCTCTGGCCATATCATGGCCTCTGCAGTGAAACTGTCATGGCTGCAGATGGGTACTTTATCCAGTTTCCTCTTAACTGAGGTGACTCTCCTCTGTAATTTTCCTCAATGTTAATGCTCATAGCTGTGGGAAGGAATGAAGTCATTCCTTCCCACACAGTAAGAGCTGAACCCCAAGTAGTGGAAACTTTTCATTATGATCTTTCATTTCTACTCACAAGCAACTTAACGCCTTCCTGTCAGTTCCATTACTTTGCTATCCAGCCTATAATCTTGTTTATATTTATATTTATAATTACAGAAGATAGTGTCATTTTATTTAACTGATTATGCTGTTTGTAATACTCAGTCATCCGTACAAATCAATGACATGATCCACACTTACTCTTTCAATAGATCCCGTCTATCTAGTGTCTCCTCAATTTATCATTTCCGGCATAGTAAACCATGTGGTTGTCAGATTCAAAATGGCCAATACCAGTCCATTTCAGTTCACTAATGCCTAAGATATTGATGTTTATGTGTTCCATTTCATTTTTAACAATTTCCAGTTTTCCTAGATTCATATTTCATACATTCCATGTTCCGATTATTAATGGATATTTACAGCTGTTCCTCTTCATTTTGAGTTGTGCCCCATTAGCAAAAGAAGGTCCTGCGGGCTTTACTCCCACAGGTTTTTACTCCATTCGTGTCATCACAATCAACTCTACTTAGAGGAGGCAGCTCTTCCCCAGTCGTATTTTGAGTGCCTTCCAACCTGAGGGGCTCATTTTCCTGCACTGTATCTGACAGTGTTTCTCTGCTATTCATAAGGTTTCCAATGACTAAAGATTCAGAAGTAGTTCGTCACTCCTTCTTCCTAGTCTGTCTTTGTTTGGAAGCTCATCTGAAACCTGTCCACCATGAGTGACCCTCCTAGTATTTAAAATACCTGTGGCATAGCTTTCAGAATCATAGCAACTCACAAGCCACCACAGTATGACAAACTGACAGATGATTGGAATGCAAAGTTGGGAACAAAGGGGAATGGAATGATCAGTAGTTGGAAAATATGGCCTTGGTGATAGAAATGATACTGGAGAATACATGATAGAATTCTGAAAAATCAATGATTTCTTCATTTCAAATACCTTCTTTAGACAGCATAAGAAACGAATATACACATGGATCTCACCAGATGGGATACACAGATGTCAAATTGATTATATCTGTGGAAAGAGACAATGGAAAAACTCTATATCATCAGTCAAAACAAGGTCAGGGGCAGATTGTGGACCAGATCATCAATTGCTCATATACAAATTCAAACTGAAGCTGGAGAAAATGAAAACAAGTACATGAGAGCCAAAATATGACCTTGAATATATCCAAACTAAATTTAGAGATCATTTGAAGAAAATATTTGATCCATTAAACACTGAAGACCAAAGACCAGAAGAGTGTGGGATGATGCATACAGCAAGAAAGCAAAAGTCATTAAGACAAGAAATAAGCAAAGAATCAAAATGGATGTCAGAAGAGACACTGACATAGAGATGCTAAAGCAAATGGAAAAAATGAGGAGGTACAAGAGCTGAACCAAAAATTTCAATGGTCAGCTTGAGAAGATATAAAGTCAAATATTACAACAAAATGTGCAAAGATCTGGAGTCAGAAAACCAAAAAGGAAGAACACGCTCAGCATTTCTCAAGCTGGGGGAACTAA